ACCACCGAGATCAACCAAAAAAGGAAAATTTATTTGTAAAAATTGCCAGGCACAATGGCACATGCCTTTAATCCCAGTGCTTGGGAACAGAGAAAGGTAGCCCACTGTGAGTTCAAGCCAACCTGGTCTACAGAGTGACTTTTAGGACAGCGAAGGCTACACAGAGAAACCCTGTATCGAAAAACATCCCCCCCACAAATAAATAAAAATAAAATTAAGGTGGTTATTCGTCTTTTTGCTTTTGTAGTGTTTTGTGACCCAGGGCCTGGTAGGCAAGTGTTATACACTGGGCCACACCCTTACATACAGGGTTTGTTTTGAGACAGTATCTCATCACGTAGCTCTGACTGGCCTGTAGCTCACTATGTAGACCAGGCTAGCCTTAAAAATCAGAGCTCTGCCTGCCTCTACCTCCCAAGTACTAGGATTAAAGGCATGTGCCACCATGTCCAGTAACCCTAGGTTTTTCATTTTCTGATGCTTATATTGTTAGATATAAGCATCAGATAGCATGTGGAAAATGAGAACAGAGCTGGTAGAGAGATGGAAAGTTTGCTGAGAAGGACCTATAACCTGCCTGGTTGTGTGTGAGCGGGCCTATGCCCGAGAGCAGAAGGGCTGTGGAAGGCAGCAGGCCGGCTCCGCACTCAGCCTTCCTCAGTTTCTTGTGGTATATGCCATCAGGCACACCATCATTAGATAACTGGTGAACGTAGGGAAGCTTTCCTTGAAAAGTCTCATTGAGAAGAAAAGGCAACTCCAATGACAAGAGTCAGGTAACTGCAAAATCAGTAAGAGAAAGAAAGGCACAAGGGTTTGGAAAGCGAATCATACAATGTGCAATGTCTTGTGTAAGAGTACCTGCGACACCCTTAAATTAAGTTGTTTCAGGAGAGTTACATCAAGGAAGGGAGCTTTGAGCATGTCATGCTTAGAAGTCAGGTTGTGAGTAGTCTTCCCAGGCAATTGAAAGGCATGATCAAAAGAGGAGGCGAGGCCATCTGTCTTGCAGTAGAGTGAACCTGCTTGGCAGCAGGAGAGGATTCCTGGTGGGATAGGGTGGAGGTGTTAGTGGCAGAAAAAACTAAAAAGGCAGGTTAAAGCCAAGTTTGGCAGGTCTTCAATAAGCATCTGCCAGATTTGAAACTTTCTCTCAATGATCAAAAGATAAGCCTTTGATTTTTTTTTTAAATTCATTTTGCATTGTGCATATGTGTGGTGTATATATGATATGTGCTATCACGTGTGCATGCCACAACTCCACAACTGTGGAGATCAGAGGACAAAGGTTGTTTTTTCTTTTTTAGTTTCTGAGACAAGGTCTCATGGGGCTCTAGTAGGCTTGTAAATTGGTAAGTAGACCAGCTTAGTATAATGGTCAGCAGAGCTCTTCCTGAGTGTGGGATTAAAGGCGAGTTTCAACACATCTGGCCTCCAACTCACTTTTTAAGGGAAGGGTTTTCTCTTAGAGTTTTTGACTGGCTCCCCAGGCTATCTGGCCCAGAAGTGTCTGAGGAAGTCTCCTGTTTCCGCCATCTTACCGGTAGGAGTGATGGGATCACAAACACATGTTACTGCATCTGACTTTTTCTTTTCTCGTTGGTTCCAGGGATCAAACTCAGGGAGCTTGGCTTGCACAGCCGGGGGACATTTAACTATCCTTATCATTGTATTTTCAGCAAGTGAATAATACGACTGAATTAAATTTAATTAAACTTTTTTTTTTTTGGCAGATTAGCAGATCTGGCAGCTCTGACTCAGAGCTGGGCAGGGCTACAAAACTACACCTTTAATCCTAGCATTTGGGATGCAGGGGCAGGCTGATCTCTGTGTGTTGGAGGGCAGCCTGCTCTAGAGAGCAAGTTCCAGGGTAGCCAGTACTATACAGTGAAACTATGTCTTAAAAATTCAAAATAAGTGGGGTATGGTATTGTATACCTGTAGTCCCAGCACTATGGCAGAGGCAGGTGGATCTCTGTGAGTTCGAGGCCAGCCTGGCCTACAAAGTGAGTCCAGGACAGTGAAGGCTCCACAGAAAAAAACCAAACCAAACCAAACCCTGTCTCGTAAAACAACACAACAATGCAAAATGAGAACAAGAAAACAAAAACTACCCCCATCAGGGTACTGGAGGTTAAAGGCCCTGGCTAATGAGTAGAGTGAGAACTAAGAACTAGAGTGAGACATGGTGTGACCAGAGAACAATCAGCACTCAGAAGCAAGGGCAGATTCAAAGAGGGCAAGTGGTTAGGCATTCACACAGGGGTCCTTATTCTAGATTCCAAATTAGGCCAGGAAACAGGTCTGAAGCAGGTATGCACTAGGGAAAAGATGAAACAAATATTCAAAGCTGGGACGAGGATCCAGAATCCAGCAATTCCAAGAAGTGGCGGTTCAGTGCCAGTCTAATCCACCTGGTCAGACCTAAGACCCTTTCGGCTCTTTCACTCTGGGGCCTGGATGGGGCCAGACGGTAAGTAGAGGCAGAGGTGTAACTGTGGGTGGTAAGGAGGGCAGACAGGAAGCAGGTCCAAACTGCAGAGCCATGCTGATCATTTACGTAACAGTACTCAGTGGCTGATCTGCGTCCCATGAACCCCTTAAGAAGGGGTTAAGATGCTTAAGAAGCCCCTGGCCTCAAGAGCACGTCCACCTACAGGAGGTCATAGCGGCTGAGGCCCCTGTCAGGGTGTAAGTACAGCACCTCCAGTTTGACATCGGCTGTTGTTTTTAGGACTTCTGGCTGCGGTGTGGAGGATGAAAAGGAGAGTTTACAATGGGGGAAGTGCCTGAAATGAGCATTCAAGTATCCACAGTGATTATGGAGTAGCAAAATCTTTTTACCTTTCTGCTTCCTGGTATTGCTAACTTAGTGCTACGAGACTGGCCAGTCATGGCAACTGAGATGCCAGCTAAGGTTAGATGATGAGAAAAGATAAAGACAGAAATGAGAAGATGGCCAGGAGAGCAGGGAGGAAGGAGTGAACAGTTGGAACACAGGTGAGAAGAAACGCCAAGAGCACCCGGGACATGCCCTGGAGCGCAGGCAGAAGACTTGGTTCAAGGGGACACTGGAGAGACCGTTTTCAAAGAAAAAGGGTGTGGGTGCCCGAAGAGCACAGCAGTTCAGAGAAAGCCAAACATGGAGGCTCCAGATCAAGAGCGAGGCCAGCCTGGGCTACAGAGTGGAAACCTCATCACAAACCAAAACGTCCATAGAACACTGCGGGGAGATACCGTGAATTCCACAGAGGCCTGTTATCCCCTCACCCCCCCCCGCCCCCGCCCCTACCCATCCATGAGGTATCTACAGAGTAGCTGAGCTTTAAAGACATTAAAAATACAAACAAAAAAAAAATTAATAAATAAATCAGGGACAGATAGCGTCTAGGAGTTGCTAACTCCCACCTACAGGTCGGTGTGCACGAGGTTCATCCTAGCTTAAGATTAGTTGGGTCAAAAGACACACTTCGATCTAGCTTACGCATTTCAGTGTTCCTAAGTGCCGCCTTACAAAGGCACAAGAGGTTATTCAAAATGACCAGACTAGGTGAGGAAGGAGGCGGGGGAACTGCCCAGGCAGCTCGCGTCTGCATCTCTCGGACAAACTGGCTCCTCATGCTTGCTATTCTCCTGTCCAGGGCCGTGCCTGTCGCCCAGCGAACAGCTACATTTGGGGTGCACGTCAGCGGCGGCGTTTCTCGAGGAGCCGACCGGAGAACCAGCCGGGACGCCCGGCCTCGAGAGTGGAAACTGCCCAAGCGCGATGACCAAGACCAGGAGCGGAGGCTCGGACGCAGCTCTTCCGAACTTCTGGCTTTGGTTTTCGGAGGTGCTTCCCCCCCCCTTCCGGTTTAGCAGAATTCCAGCGTCCTGAACAGGCAGTTAACATTTCTAAAGCCCTGGGCCTGGGCCCCCTCCTCCCGGAGCCCATTCCCTCGGCCCCGGGGCTCTTCCCCATCCCCTCCCCCAGGCCCCCCAGGCCACACTGTGAGTCCCTGCGCCCCGCGGGCCCGGCTCCGGCAGTCGGTCACAGGGCTCTTAAGTCCTCTCGGGCGTCCGCACGTGTCCGTCCCCCGAGGTGGGGTGTGGGGGGGGACTGCCCTTCCCGCTAGGCCGCTGATTGGTGGCTCTCCCCCCCCTTCCCGCCACACTCCATCCTCCTCGGTGGCAGCCCAACCGGCCCCGCCACCTTCCTCCCCGGGAGAAGCGGGGCGCTCTCCGGAGCGCTCCCCGGAGTCCCGTTCTCAGGCGGAATAAGAGAGAGAGAGAGAACAGGTGGAGAGCGCCTCCCGTCCCCCCACCCCACCCCGGCGTGGACGGCCCCACTCGCCGTCCGGCGGCGCCCCGCACGTGCGCACCCCCGGGGCTCGCCCGGAGCGAGAGCGCCGCCGCCGCCGCCCAGCGGGCCCTTTAAAGGAGGACTCGACCACCGAGGCCACGTGCGGGGGGTGGGGGGGAGAGAGACCCCCCTATTGTCTCCCGTCACCCAAGTCGCCCGAACCCCCTCACCCCCCCCGCCTCGGGCACCTGCCCCGCACGGCGCCGCTCCCAGCCGCCCCCCGCCGCCGCGGCCGCGCGCGGGGAGCGGTCCCCCCCCCCCCCCCCCCCCCGATCCCGCGTCACCCGCGGCCCCTCCCGGGGCGCGGCGGGCCCGCTCCCCTCCCCCTCCCGCTCCGAGCGCAGCTGTCCGCGGCCCGGGTGGGGGCGGGGTTGTTGTTGTGGTGCGCGCCGGCCCCGCCCCCTCCTCGTGGGCGGCCCCTCCCCCAGGCCTCGGCCTGGCCCCCCTCCCCACCCCGCTCCCCCCCGCCACCCCCAGCCCCATCTGTTTTCCCCGGCGCTTGAGTGGATTATATTGTACGGGACCCGGGGGGCGGCCGCACGGGCCGCGGCGGGACGGGGCGAGCGCGCGGCCCCCGGCGGCTGCCCGAGCAGCGGCCGCTTGAGCGACTCGGCCCGCCGCTCCCCCCCCCCCCCCCCCAACCCCCGCCCGCCCGGCGCGCCGGAGCCTCACCGCCCGTGCTCACGCCGAGCGGCGGGAGAAGAGGCGCTTGCGGGAGTCGGAGCGAGCGGGCGGGCGGGCGAGCGAGCGAGGCGGGGAGATGTGCCCGGAGGAAGGCGGCGCGGCCGGGCTGGGCGAGCTCCGCTCCTGGTGGGAAGTCCCGGCCATCGCGCACTTCTGCTCGCTCTTTCGCACGGCGTTCCGCCTGCCCGACTTCGAGATCGAGGTGAGTGGCCGGGGCGCTGCGCCCCTCCGCGGGCACGAGGCCGGCGGCACCCCGGCGCCCCGCGCGCCCTCGCCCGCTTTTGTCGGCGCGGGACCCGGGGGGGCTCTCCCGGGACTCCTCGGGCCCGGCCTGGGGGCGCGGGGGGGGCTCGGGGCCGGCGGGCACCGGGACGGGGTGCGGGGGGCCCCCCGCGGCGGCCGGGAGGGAGCGGCCCCGGGGCAGGGCCGGCGGGGCTCGGGGGTCGGGTCGCGCTCGGCCGACCCGCCGAGGCCCGTAACTCTCGGGCGCTTCCAGTCAACTTCGGGCGGGCGCGGGATGGGGCCTGGGCGGGCGCTCTCGGGGGAGCGCCCGGGGCGCCGCGGCTGTGTGTGGAGGGAAAGTTTGGGGTCCCCCTCCCTCCTCCGAGGAGCGCGCAGCCCTCCGCATTCGGGGAGCTCGCTCGCTCTCTCGCTCTCTCTCCGGAGTCGATTTCGCCACCATTATTCCCCCGGGCGAGCGAGGAGGAACAGGGATGGCTTTCTGGCCAGGCCGAAGGTGCTCTCGGGACCCGAGGCTTTGTGAGACCTGGACAGAAATCGGAGGGTCCCAGCGGCGAGGACGGTGGCGGGAATGCGGGAAACGGTCCGGAGCAGCATCCTGACTTTTATTTTTTTGGAAGGCGGCGTGAAATAGGTGATTGGCTGGCAGGTTGCGTTGCTTTCTCTTCTGTGGTCGTCTGTGTGGTGACTTAGCCACCTTCTTCCTTGGGACAAAGGTACACGGAACTGCTGGTCAGTTGCTGTTTTCAGCTCTGTGGATGGCTTCGCAGTTGAAGTTAAAGCCATTTATTTGGAAGGTCTGGCCGTTGTGGTTGACCCTCCACCCCCACGAGTCTTGGCTTTTTTTTTTTTTTTTTTTTAATTTGTTGACTCCTGAGGTCTTTGCCCACCTTTATTTTTAAGTCCGTTGTGTTTGCAGAAATATCACTGGCTTCTGCTATGAATGAAGCGTGGGAACTTCTGTTGCAGAGTTAATGAAATCGGAAAATTAAAACGATCACAGGGGCTAGGTTAGGAGAACGAAGAGGAATGTAGTCTGAAGCTGGGGCCACTCGTTGGCTTTTGGAGGTACTTTTAAAACAATGTGAATAGGTTGGTTGGTAGGGTTCTCCAGGCTGTGGGCTTCTCCAGGTTTTAGGAAAATGTAACTTGTGGATTTCACACAACCTCAGCGCGTTTGTTTACAAAGTTTGAACGTGATGTAACGAACATTTTTGTGATTTAATTTGGTAATGAAATCGGACTGCAGAGATGAACAATTTGAGGAATCTTACAGGGGAAGAGATGCTTAATGATTCTGACGTCCTGCGTTTCCTTTTCCTTGGTTTGAAATCCTGAGTAGTCTTAATTAAATCCTGCTGTTCAAAATGGTGGCTGCGGTGTGTGTGTTTGTGTAGGGGTGTTGCTTGTGACAGTGCCATCTTGGGTGCTGGTAAACTTGTCCCCAGCTCGTTTTCCTTTATCAAGAGAAACTAAAGTGAGTGAAGAACACTACTGTTGGGGAAAATGCCAGCTTTCTAAGTCCTTGTATTTCCATTTTGTTAGTGGAAAAGTAGATGAAACTCATTTTGCCTTAATTATACTCAAAATACTTAAGATTGATTTCTATGCTAAATTGTAAATCGTGGGTTTTCTCGGTGTTGGGTGAAGCCTGATTCCTCTAGGAAATGTGAGCTCTTACTGTCCTTTCCATGTCTACTTGACATGGTGTCTTTTTATTCTAGTGGTTAAGAAAAAAAATGTTGTGTGGGTGTGCAAGTGTCAGCGAGCGCTTGGGAAGGTCAGAGGACAATGTGAGGAATTGGTTCTCCCCTTCCCTGGTGAGAGCCCCAAGAATCAGGTTGTCAGGCCTGGCACCATTTCCTTCACAGGGATCCATCTCTTCTAAGTGTTTTTGGAAGAGACACTTCTGTCGGTTAATGTACATACTTCAGATACCACCACCCTTTTCTCCCCTCCTATGGAGATGATGAGAAAGTGTGTTACAAATGATGCTTTTTCCCTCTTGAAGCTCCAGTATTTAGTTTAGGGTTTTGAGTAGTTACTAAATGTTGAATTATCTGAAATTCTAATTCTCTAAGAAATTTGACTCTGATCCATCAACAATGAAGAATTTCCCAAAGACGCCATCAGTGACTGTGTTTATTTATTTATTTATTTTTAAAACAACAACTAGTTTATTGGTTAGGCCTTGCAGTGCAGTGTACAAATACACCAGTGCTGAGCTTGAATGTACCTGGTGGACACATGGGAAGACCACATAGTCTTAATTACACCTTGAAAAACTATAAACGAGGAATGTCAAAGTTGGACCTTTAGGAAGCCAGTTTTCAGTCATGTGAAAAATCCCATTTTACCCCCTTTTCTAGTCTGAATCCTTGGATGCATAGAAAATTTAGGAAGCCGAATCTTTAAGGAGCTGGTTTCTGTCCCAGGTGAAGCAGACCCTCAGCTGGGTGAAAGGCTCCAGGATTCTTGCTGCTGTTCTGTAAGAGGTCAACACCTCCCACCTAGAGAGCAGGTCTCTGTGAAGTATGGGAGGTTTTGTTTTTTTCACGTAGAAAGGTTTTTGTGCTCTCTTAATTAACCTTAAACTGATAGTTTCTTCGGAAGTGTCAACATACTTTGTGGTGTGTTGTGCTATGTATTGAACTCAGGGTGTTCATACATGCTAGGCATGCACTGTACCACAGTCTTTCCCCAGCCCCTTTCTTCTTCTTCCATCTTCTTTTCTTTTCTTTCTTTCTTTCTTTCTTTCTTTCTTTCTTTCTTTCTTTCTTTCTCTCTCTCTCTCTCTCTCTCTCTCTCTCTTTCCTTTTTTTTTTTTTTTTGACAAGGGTTTCACTATGTAGCTGTGGCTGGCCTGAAACTCACTATGTAGACCAGGCTGGCCTCCAGTTCACAGAGATCCTCTGCCTGTGTCTCCCAAGTACCCTGCATTTTTCGCTTTTCATTTTAAGGCAAGCTTAAACACTTGTGTGTTGCTGCCCCAAAATAAATGTTCTCAAACAATCCTAACAAAAATCTAAGGGTATAATAATAACGTTTTCAGTTGTTCAGATTCTTTGTTCACGGGAGGAGTGTAGCTCGGGGTTGAGCACTTGCTAGAATACCCAAAGTTTGCCATACTTTTCCTTCCTGGTTTTAAAAAAAACATACGAATATTACACAAAGCTTAATTTTTAACAAAATACAGATAAATGAATTGAAATAAGTCAGTCTTCAATGGGGGGGGGCAGCTAAAGCTGTACCCTGATACTTGGGTAAAAGTCTTCTGTTAACATATTTAGAAATTCCTATTTTCCTAATAGGTTTGTGTTGTAGATCAGGTGTTGCTTTTAGTTTTCTGAAGAGACTAAGGTTTAGTTAGGCATTAATAGATTAAAGACATTGCCTTCAGTATTTAGTTACCATTAAACACTTACTGTGTTTGGGGTTTTTTGATGTAATGGAACTGAACCCAGGGTTTTAATATGCTAAGCATTGAGCTACAACCTTAGCTTTTCTTTTTCCTTTTTCTTTTTTTAAATGTTTATCTATTACGTATACAATGTTCTCTCTGCACGTACACCTGCATGCCAGAAGAGGGCACCAGATCTCATTATAGATGGTTGTGAGCCACCATGTGGTTGCTGGGAATTGAACTCAGGACCTCTGGAAGAGCAGCCAGGGCTCCTAACCTCTGAGCCATCTCTTGGACTCCCCCCCCCCCCCCCCAAGAGTCTCTCTTAGAGCTAGGGTTGGTGAGTAAGTAGCTAAGCAAGCAAGGCTTCAATCCTACCTCAGCTTCCTTAGTAGTTTGGGTTATAGGCATGACCATTTATTCATCAAAGGAGCTCATACTTTGGCCCTTTTTGGGCACTTTACCCAATAGAATCCAGTTACATATGATTTAGCTAAAGCCAAATACTTTGCATTTAATATTGAAGTGGATTAGGTTAGTTGTTTTTCCCTGATTTGAAACTAAGAAAGATAAATTTAGTACTTGTTTCAAGTTGAAATAAGACAATGGAAGGCAATGATTTTCCATAACAGAGCAGCAGTTCTTTGGGGGTTTTTGTTGAATGAACCTTTCAAAGAGGTTGCCTAAGACCATCAGAAAAAGCAGATTATTATTTTTAACAGCAAAATTACAGTTATGAGGTAGCAACAATTTTTAAAAATAATTTTATTGTATTGGTTTTGCCTGTATGTGTCTGTGTGAGGGAGTAAGATCCCCAGAAACTGGAGTTAAAGACAGTTGTGAACCGTCGTAACGGTGCTGGGAATTGAACCTGGATCCTCTCTGGAAGAGCAACCAGTGCTTTTAACCCCTGAGTCATCTTTCCAGCCTCAACAAAAATAATTGTGTGGTTGGGGGTCACCACAACATGAACTGTTCTAAAGGGGTTGAAGCATTAGGAAGGTTGAGGAGAGAGAGCGAGAAAGGCGAGAGGAGAGAGGGAATGAATGAATGTTCCTCATGACAGAGCTGGTTCAAGGCTGGAGTGGTTAGCCATGTGGATGTGTGGAATGTTTACATGGGTTTGAGTGGTTTGTATAGTAGTGACGACCTGATCCAAATTGGAGGGATCTTTCTTTCCTGAGATCCTTCCCTGTCTGTCCCCTACAGGGTTTCTCTGTGTAGCCCTGGCTGTCCTGGAACTCCTGACCAGACTGGCCTTGCACTCATAGAGATCCCCTGACTCAGCCTCCCAAGCGCTGGGATTAAAGGGGTGCACCACGGCTGCTCAGCTTCTTTCCTGAGATTCTTGGTTTTTTAGCCTTAACCTTGCCCGCCTTGAGTCTTCTTCCTAGTTGGTTGGGTGTGGCTGAAGTCCTGCACTTGGAGGGGTGATGTGCGGCCAGGATGTGTAGAGCTTTGTGTTTTGCCCTCCGTATTTCTGTTTCTAGCCCCTTTGTCAAAAGAATGAGCCAGAAATTATAATCAATAGAAGTAACAAAACTTCTATGAAGCATAAG